CAGGAGTGACACCACCCACCATGGTAGGCCCTCCCCCATTTATCACTAATTGAGAAAATGCTTTACTGCTGGATATCATGGAGGCATTTCCTTAACTGAGGCTCCTTCCTTTCTTCTGGTTCTATTTGTATCAACTTGATACAAAATCAGCCAGTACAATGGGAAAGCCCATACCTGGATTTAATCCTCAGCCCTGACTAAGAACACTGTTTTCTTGGGTGAGGTCTTTGCTGCAGGAGAAAGATGTGGTTGTATTCTCCAGGTACCTGGGTCTGTTTTCCTGTCATTACTTCAAACTGGTCTTGAGGTCAGGGCGGCAACACTTTTTCCATGGGAGTGTGGAACATAATCCTAGGAGCTGTTGGAAACTAGCGTTTATGCCCAGAGCTTTCTGTCTGCTGTCACATTGCTACCACTGTCTAACCTGGAGCAGGATCTTGGGGAAATTTGAACTAAATGGAAAGAACTTTAGGCTTGGGGATGTGAAATGGTTGAGAACATTGGCCATCAAAATTAGATTTGGGGATTTGGGGTTTTGTTTCATTTCTTGCTACACCAAGTAGAACTCAGGATGTCATGAAATCATGAGTCAAATGTGGGTTTGCTTTACTCTGTCACGGGCTGTCTAAGAGGTGTTGTAATATGTATTTTGTCTCACTGAGCGTTTGTTTTTGGTTTTTTGTTTTTGTTTTTTCTGGTGGTGAAAGGATGAGACAGGATTTCACTCTGTAGACCAGGTTGGTTTTGTTAATCCGGAGGCCGGGATCACAGGCATGGCTCACCATGCCCAGCTGACTTCATTAAATTGAAGCAATCAATTCAAATGAGATCATGTCTAGGCAGCGCTCAGTGGTGCCGATGTGCTATGGAAACTGAGTGTAAAGACATCAGGTACAGGGGCTGCTCCTCCCTGAGGCCTTGTCAGAGAGGAGAATAGCAATGAAATGGGCTGGGGTGCAGCTCGGTAGTTGAGGGTGTGCATAGCAGGTGTGAGACTGAATGCCATCATCAGCACCAAAGAGAGAGAAAGGGCCTGTGCTTCCCATTGTGTGGTATTGTCAGGTCTGAGACAGCACTGCCATGCCCAGGTATACTAGTATTTCCCAATAAACACAGAAAAAGCTGGGCATGGTGGCACTTGCCTGTAAGCACAGTACTTAGAATGCTGTAGTAGCAAAAAGATGGTCAGGAGTTCATGGCCAGCCACATGAAGATGCAAATCCTGCCAACTGTGAAGCTGCCGAACTGGGCAACATAACTACAGATGACAGGAGACAGGCAGTTCTTGTCTGCAGGATGCATGGGTTAAATGTTGTTTTCAGAAATGTTGTTTTCAGAGCCTTTTGAGGGTTAGTATTACAGTTACAAGATTGCAGACTTACTGTTTTGGGTTAAGTGGTGTTTGTTTAATATGGTTAATATTCCTTTTCCAGTTTCTCAGAGTGCATTTCCTTATCCACTAAGTCTCTTACATAAGACTCAGAGGTTACTGGGAAGGTTAGGAAGCCACAGAAGGCTGGAGGCTCATCAGGAGTGCTGTGCTTGGTCAGGAGGCTGAGGCAGGATAGCTAAAGCTTATTACTTCTCAGCCTCTTGGCTCCGAGCAATGATAGCGTGTTTGAGGCCAGTTTGGATTACACAGGAAGACCCTGTCTCAGAACACAGAAGGAAAGATGTCAGCTTAAGCTGACATCCAGTGCTTGCCGAGGTCGATTTTGCTTATTCTCTCCCTCAATATCCTCACATCCCCCACAAAACACACCAGGAGTCAGGATCTCAGCAGAGTACCATCTTTAGTGCTGTGGAGACTGGAGAGGAAAAGAGGTAGGCACAGAAAGGGGAAGATGGCTGCGGCTATGGCCACCATCCACCGAAACATCCCTAGTAGAAATTACAAATCCTTTTCTAACCTGTGCATAATGCCATGTGCCTGAAATCTCAGCAGAAGCAGGAGGATTTTTAGATGGTAAGTCCCAGGCTAGCCTGGGCTACCTAGTGAGGTGTGTCTCAAACAGTATCTAGGCCCTTGTCTGATAGTCTGCTTATCTTGGTAATTGACAGAACTGGTCGTTTGTAGGTGAATCTTGTTCCCCATGGTTCCTTGAAATACAACTGACCTGTGTATGGCTCTTGAGTGCTGAGAGGCTTTGAGGAGAGTGGGGACATGTGAGGGTGGCTAGAGGCAGCCAGTAGGCCGTCAAGCATGTTGAGTCACTGTCCTTCCTTTGTCAGCAGCATGTAGGTGCCACGTCTCCAGTAGGCTGCCTGTTGATAGCTCAGAGAATTGAAACTGTTCCCACCTTGCTGGGGAGGGCTGGCTAGAACTGAACAGCATGCTGTAACCCCATGGCTATGCTCAGCACTCACTGTACCGTGTGTGAGGGACAGCACTGTAAGGTGGCTCTGAGGCTGTGGATAGTGTTGCCCTGTCTACACTTTACATGTCTAGGCTGTCTTGTGCTGAGGGTAGTTGTCATGGATGCACACCTTCCTTCTCAAGCCCACTACTTTGTGACTTTCTGTGTTCTCTGTAGAGCTGGTGGAGTTGAAATCTATAATGGGGATCGCAAGATAAAGGTTTCCAACACTCTGGAAAGCCGCCTGGACCTCATAGCCCAGCAGGTGAGTGAGTGCAGACTCTGGTTACTTACCGACTGGCACATACTGCAGAGAACTCAGGCCCTTCAAAGTGAGTGCAAGGGCCGCTGTCTTCATGTCTCCACGTTTGCACACTGAACCCAAGGCTACAAGCCTAAAGTGCTGGTCATCTTGTAGGCATGGTGGTAAGCAGTTTCTGTTAACTGTCTAATCCCTGACTTAGAAGTATAGAACAGGGTGTGGTGGTGCATGCCTACAGGCAGGCAGAGCTCAGTTCAAGGCCAGCCTGGCCTACAGAGTGAGTTTCAGGACAGCCAGGAGTTCACACACTCTGTGTCACAGGCTGTGTACAGTAATGACTTCTGGTCTCTTTTTCCCTGTCCCTTTTGTAAGCAGTAAGCCCATAGTATGACGGCTTAAGTGTCTGGCACAGTACTGCAGATAGGGCAGGTGTGATGTGCTTAGCTCTGATGTCCTTTCCTCACATGGTGGTTAAGACTGTCTACAAGTTCCCTGACTGAGGTCCTGATTGACTACTTCTTTACAGATGATGCCAGAAGTCCGCGGAGCCTTGTTTGGTGCAAATGCCAATAGGAAGTTTCTGGACTGAACCTCAGAAGGTGCAGTTCACCCACGGCTGTGCTCCTGGAGAAGCAGATTATCTGTGTGGCTTCCTCTTTCTGTTCTAATACTGGTAATCAGTGAACACCTTCTACAGCTAATGCCCTTGGCTCAGTGTCAACAGAAGGGCCACTTGGTGTGGGCAAGAACCCAGCCCTAGCTCATCTGATGCCACAGCTGTGCACTGGGTTTGCAGCGGGATGGGAGGGGTCAGATGCGCTGCGCGGCCTCACCAAGGACCCATTCTGTCCTGCTCTAGTCTAGAGTGAGTTGTGCATGCTGTTTGTGCTCTTTGTGCGTAAGGTACACGTGAGGCTCACATTCCGCCAGTAACACTAGCTTCACTGTTACTGTTTAGGTCTAGTCTTCCTTCTCTGTAAATGTGATTTAAAAATCTAAGCCACAGATGTTCTTTATTTATTAAAATAAAAGGTTTATGTCGATTTGGTTGTCATTCTGTATGTAAGGCACCGAGTTTGTGATTTGAGAGTAAGTTCTGTTGGGCACAGTAGCACGCATCAGTATCCTAGCTGTGGTAGAAGGATTGTTTGAGGCCAGCCTGGGCAACAAAGAAGACCCCACTGAGGAACCCAGAGAGGAACTATCCCAAATTCCTGCCATGTATTAGCCACTCAGAGGCTCCCTCACTAGACTTTCCTGCAGCTCTGTGACCAAATGAATACCACACCCAGGTGTTCAGTCTTCCTGTCCTGGAGGCTGGACAGCTTTGTGCTAGGAGTAAGCAGGGGCTGCACCACTGAGCCGTGCAGTGTGTCTTTGGGGTTTTAACTGCCTTGCCTTACAGTGAATAAGGCCATTCAGATGGATTATTTGCATGCACATCTGCCTACTCCCCCAGACCCGAATTTTACGTTAGGTGGGACTAATGGAGGTGCTTTTCAGTTTGGGGGTTTGTCAGGGTCTCGTGCAGTGTAGACTGGCCTAGAACGTGCTTACTGGCATATGGTGACCTTCAATTTCCTATCCTCCTGTCATCAGCTCCTAAGTGCTGACTACAGGCATGTGCCAGCCTAAGTTTATGTGCTGTTTATCTGGTGCTGGGGATGGAACCCTCTGCTGACTGACTAGGTACCAGCCCTTGTTCCTGTTCTTCATTTGTCTGGCATTATTCCACTTCTTTTTTTTTTCTTTTTTTCTTTTTTTTTTGGCTTTTTCGAGACAGCGTTTCTCTGTGTAGCCCTGGCTGTCCTGGAACTCACTCTGTAGACCAGGCTGGGCTTGAACTCTTGAACTCAGAAATCTGCCTGCCTCTGCCTCCCAAGTGCTGGGGTTAAAGGTGTGCGCCACCACTGCCCGGCGCATTATTCCACTTCTGTATGGCAGGCTACAGAGGAAGGAATTGAGGTCCTTGAGACTTGGGCTTCTTGGAGTTGGCATGGTTATGAAGTGACAGGTAGAGGCGAAACTCAAGTGTAGGATCTGGAGAGATGGCTCGGCGGTGGCCAGCTCTTCCTGAGGACCTGAATTAGTTCTTAGTGCCCGTGTCTGGCAGCTCACCACTTCCTGTAACACAGCTTCAGGGGATCCAGCGCTGTCTTGGGGTCTCCCAGGGTACTCACACAGACACACATGCATGTCAATTAGTAAATAGTTATTTTTAAAAAGCCAAACTCTTTCAGTGTAAAATTCCCCCCCTCCCCCGCCATCCACTCTCCACTCTTGAACAGCAGTTGGAAGATGGTAGTGAGCTGCTGTGGGCCCTACAAGCCACAGCTGGCTTCTGCAGAAGCTAATCCCTTGCCAGTCATCTGCTATGCTGATTCCAGGACAAGGATTTAACCAGCTTTATTTCAGATCATGACCCACAGCATCCGTGAGGAGGGATCTGGGTCCATACTTGAGGCTGGGTATCTGGGTGTAGGTTCAGCCCAGGTGCACTTCTGATCTGTTAGAGCATCAGGGCTAGGATTGACACTAAACCCTCACAGGACGATTCTGTGCCGCGCTTGCCTGCAGTGGGAATGTTAGTGTAGAACAGCCCTTCTGTCTTACTGCACATGGTCCTGTCATAGTACACAGGCCAGTTCTATTATTAGACATAGGTGGTAAGGCCTTCTGAACTTCCCTGTACCACAAAGTTGAATCTTCATAAAGGAAGATGAGGGCTCTACTCACTTAGTAAAATGGGTCATTTCTTCTGAGGTAGCACTACAAGTTAGAGACCATGTGTATCAGGGTGGGCATCTTCCAGTACTGCCACCCAGTTCCCTAGGGCCAGAGGTGACAGCAAGAGGTGATGCATTAGATTACTCAAAGCACTTTAAGATGCGCTCTCCGATGCCAATGAAGTAGACACCCTGGGCAATCCCGAAGAGGGGAGCTATGACCAGCGCACGGCAGCCTGCTCCCTTCATGAAGGCTGCTGCTCCCTCCTGCGTCCAGAGCTTCCTGTGAAGAAGGGAGAGCTTGGTAGTTGAAGGCTACACTCACATTTACTCGGGACTTTTTGTTGGATTTGGGGAGAAGGTCTCTAGGTGTAGCCCAGGCTGTCTCTGGGCTGCCGTAAGTCTCCTGAGTGCTAGGACTATAGGATTACAAACCCTGAGGCTGCAAGCACACAGCATCTCCACACTTCCTTTGAGACCAGAGCTCACTGTAGGTTAGGCTGACCTGCGGTCCTCTCAGGTACTAGGCCGAAGACTGGAGCCATTAAGCCCCATTTGGCCAAGTATTTGTGCACCTTCTTTAGACTGTTGTTAGAGAGGAAGCTACTTAGCAATCTGGTGGGAGGAGTGGGGAGAAGCAGAGACTCATGGGAGAATCAGAAGCTCTGATTCTCTGTAGCATTCTCCGAGAAGTGAGGGCCAACACATTCCAAAGCAATGCCAAGTCCTGCCAGGAGCTGCATCTTGAGCTGGGTGGTGTCTGGGACACTGGACTCACCTGGCACAGTCAGTGACTCCACTGTAGGTGTCCTCCCCCAGGCCTCTCTTGAGGGTCTGGATTCGAGTCTTCAGAACTGAACGAAGCGGAAGCTAGAGTAAGTGACGACTCCCGAGCTTGTCTTTGTGCACACTAAGTGGGTGGCCCTGTGACCAGGCCCTGGGAGGGCCAGTGGTGTGGCTGGGAGCGGAGCAGCCTTCTTCCTCAGCCTCCCTCTAGCAGAACCTGTGAGGGACTGGGAGTGGCCCTGAGCACAGGGGGAGCATTTCCACATAGGGTCCCCAGTGTTAGCTCTCACATGCAAGACTCAGGACTACCTGGAAGCAAAGGCCTCTGGGAGGGGAGGGGAGGGGCTGTGTGGTGACAAGGAACACTGGGGACACCTCAGCGTTTGCTCAGGGCCTTTGGGGAGTTTATGCCAGTGACTGAACACTAAGGTTGTTGAGGATTGGGGCTTTCTGGAAGCCTAACTCATAAAGCAGGATGACCCTTAAATCCCAAACCCTAGCCCTCTCCACACCTACCATCCAGAGGGGTGACAGCCACCGCTGCCACAGAGCCTGCTGCGCAGCCTGCCACGAAGGAGTGTGTGAAGGAAGCCTTGCCGGTGAGCTCGCTAACCCCGAATTGGTTCAGGTTTGCAAACAAAGGGAAGTAGATGATGGAGAAGGGAATGTCCCTGCAGAGGAGAAGGATGACCTCTGGGTAGCCCTCTCCACAGCCTCCCCAGGACCCGTGGGGGTGTGGCAGATGGGAGAAACACCCCCATTTGCCAAAGAGGAAGTTCTTCCCCTGTCCTTCTCCTCCCCACCCCGACAAACACTCCCAGCACCTGTAACCTGCCGAGGAACCAGCTACAGTTCCATAGGGAAGCAATTTGGTAAGACTTTTAGAGGCCTTGGGGCCCAGGAAGGAAGGGCTCACCTGAGGAGAGTGGCACCCAGGCCCCTGTAGAGACCAGAGAGGCCCTGAGTGCGGAGCAGCTCCCGGGCAATGAGGGTGGCCGATGGGCGCCTGTGGGCGGAAGTCGAGCCAGTGCTGTAGGGCCGGGAGGTGGGCGTGGCTGAGGCAGAGGCCTGATGACAGACAGCTGGAGAGAAAAGGCAGCCGCATCTGCACCAAGCCAACAGGAGCCCAGGTGTGCATGATGTCACCTCAATTAGAGTCCACCCAGCCTGATTAAACCCCTTCGATGGCCTGCCGTTTTCACGCAGTCACACCCTGCTAGCACTTTGGGACAGAAACAACCTGTGTTCCGCTTAAAGTTAGAAGCAACCAGCAAATGCCTTTGTCTGCTAGGGTTGCCTGTTTCAACCAACAGAACCAAATGTAAATGTGAGTGACCAGAGTGTTGCTGGTTTATGTCTGTAATCCTAACATTTGGGAGGCTGAGACATGAGGATGGTGAGTTCAATGTCAGCCAACCTGGGCTGCATCACATCAAGGCTGTCTTACTGGAAGACTGGATGGATGGATAGATGGATGGATGGGAGGATGGGAGGATGGACGGATGGATGGGAGGATGGGAGGATGGACGGATGGATGGATGGATGGGAGGATGAGTGGATGGATGGATGGATGGAAGGATGGATGGATGGATGGAAGGATGGATGGATGGGAGGATGGATGGATGGGAGGATGAGAGGATGGATGGGGGATGAGAGGATGGATGGGAGGATGGATGGGAGGATGGGAGGATGGTTGGAGGGGGTAGGTGGGTGGATGGTTACATAGGCGATTGATAATTGGTATGGTAGAGCTTGTGGGTCCCACTAAAGACCACAGGATTTAATGTACAGAAACTATGTATTTAGAAGTCAGTATTTAGCCGGGCAGTGGTGGCGCACACCTTTAATCCCAGCACTTGGGAGGCAGAGGCAGGCAGACTTCTGGGTTCAAGGCCAGCCTGGTCTATAGAGTGAGTTCCAGGACAGCCAGGGCTACACAGAGAAACCCTGTCTTGGGAAAAAAAAAAGTCAGTATTTGCTTTGACATAGTACCCATGCATTTAATTAGTCAAGAACCTAAGGCAAAACTATGGCTTAAGCCTAAGATAAGAGTTCAAGGTGAGTTAGGGCAGTATGGGAAAACCCCGCCTCCAATCAAAATGGGCTAGAAGACCCTGGGTTTGGTCAAATGAAACAAGTGTTCAGGCTCTTTGCCCACAGGAAGTAATTATGGCTCACATCCCAGCCTTCCTTAGCATCCATCCTGTAATGCAAGAACAGAGGTGATTCATTGCTTACATTTCATTTTTTCTCTTCTTGGGGGGAGAGGGCAGGGTTGCCTCACATAGCCTAGGCTAGAAGCTAGGACCTGGGTTACGGCTCAATGCCTGAAGGCTTACCTAGCATGTGCACTGCTAAAATTCCATCCCCAAGTTATGGGGGTGGGGGAAGGAAAGTCCCAAATGGGAAACCAGACTCCTGCTCACTCGGCCGATTATTTGAAGCTTGTAAGCCTGAGAAAGCCAGAGGGAATCCCCCACCAAGGGCCCTGTGCACATGTGGTTCTTTAGCCTGGGCTCTGAGCTCCTGGTTCTACCTCTTAAGTCTCGGGATTACAGACAGGTAAAAGCCTCTTGGGGCTGGTGAGATGGCTCAGTGGTTAAGAGCACTGACTGCACTTCCAGAGGTCACGAGTTCAAATTCCAGCAACCACATGGTGGCTAACAACCATCTGCAATGATATCTGATGCCCTCTTGTGGGTGTCTGAAGACAGCTACAGTGTACTTACATATAATAAATAAATAAAAATTAAAAAAAAAAGCCTCTCTTACTTTTATACTCGTTTTCCTTGTTTGGATGGTTGGTTTGAGAGGTTGTTTATTTTTGTTTTTTTGAAACAGGGTCTTACTATGTAGTCTTGGCTGCGTGGAACTCAACAGAGATCCACCTGCCTCTGCCTCCCAGGGCTGGCATCAAAGGCTCGCACCGCCACACGAGCTTTATTGCTTATCCAGGTTGAAAAGATGACAAGGCAGGCTCCTCTTGGCAGACAGGGACACAGGGTTTCCTGAAGCCACTGGTGCTATCCCAACCTGGAGTTTGGCTGTACTGCAGCACAAGCGAGCACAGCTGAGCTGGTGGTAGTGGTGTTAGGTGTGTCACACAGTAGCTTCTCTAGCCAGACACTGGGGTTTATCCCTGAGGAACCTCGGGGCCCCTGGCTCTTCCTTAAGTGCCTAGTCTCCTTGTTTGTACTGTATGTGTGGCACTGTCAGCATCCTGGTTTGTTTTTCCATATTTGAAATTTAAAACATTTATTAATATATATATCTGTGTGTGTGTGTGTGTGTGTGTGTGTGTGTGTGTGTGTGTGTTTTGCCTGCCTGTGTGCATTGCCCCGAGGAGGCCAGAATATGGCATCTGGAACAGGGTTTATTGATGGTTGTGAGCTCTCATGTGTGTTAGAACTGAACCCTAGTTTTCTGGAAGGACAGCAGTGCTCTTCACTGCTCAGCCATCTCGCCAGCCCACTAAGCCCCATTTTAAAGAAGCTTCAGAAATACAGCCTGAGCATCAAGGCATTATCATGGAAGTATGAGATGTGCTTCCGTCTTCCAGAATCCAGACTCTTGCTTCTGCTCCTTGGGCTGGAGCTGAAAGGGTTAAAGGCATCACCATGAAACACAGTTCTGTTGACTTAGAAGCCAAGTACACACAGAACCTGGCCGGTTGGGAATATGTGTGCAGCATGACCTGTGCTGACTGACCCAGGCTTGCTGATGCCATGAGTTGGGATGTGCCTCACCTAAGCGGCCAGCATCCTGCAGCTGAATCTTGAGCATTTCCATGGGACAGGTAATCACCACCTGGCATATTCCAGCCCCACACCCGGCCAGCATCTCCATCTTCAGGTTCCGCTGTGACCTGTGGAACCAGGAGCAAGAAGGTCCTTCTTAGTCTCAGGCCAGCCCTACCCCATTCTGCCCATTCACCCTCCTTGGTGGTTGGAACTGGTTTGTTTGTTTATTTGTTTGTTTGTGTTGTTTTAAGACAGGGTTTTGGGCTGGTCAGATGGCTCAGCAGTTAAGCGTACTGGCTGCTCTTTCAGAGGTCCTGAGTTCAATTCCCAGAAACCACATGGCGGGTTACAACCATCTATCTATACGAGGAGGATCTGGTGCCCTCTTCTGGCCTGAGGATGTATATGCAACAGAGCACTCATACATTGAATAAATTTTTAAAATAATAAAAACAGGGCAGGGTTTCTCTATATAACCCTGGCTGTCCTGGGACTTGCTCTGTAGACCAAGCTGGGATCAAGGTCACAGAGATCTGCCTGCTCCTGACTCCTGAGAGCTGGGATTAAAAGCATGTGCCACACTTGGCTCTTTTTGGTTTTTGAAACTGTATGTAAGACAAGCTGTCCTGAGTTTTGCTGTAGTCCTCCTGCCTCTATCTCCTGGCTGCTAGACTTACAGATAGCGCCTTTCTATCAGAGACTATGGCCAGGCAGCTTGTGTATCCTCGTTGGAGTCAGAAACCATCAACACCAATGTGATGTCAGGTTCTTGCTCCAGCCTCCTAAGTACCATCCCTTAGGACAAGGGGCAGAGGGGAACACAGAAGAAGAGAGGATTTGGGGGCTGATGTTTAAATTTTGTCAGCTTGTTGGGTGTGACCACTCAAGGTTATAATTTTGAGCACTCAGGAGGTAAAAGGCCAGAGAATCATTGTAAGTTCCAGGCCAGGCAAGATCTAAATAGGGAGACCCTGTCTCAAAACAAACAAACAAACAAACAAACAATGAAAAACAGGAAAAAATTCAACAGCTAGTTGCTAAATACATCTGGGTATATACTGTATGTTCTGTATTCTCTTGAATATACAGTCTCTTCCACATTCCACCAGCTCACCCTCTCCCTTCACTTTCTATATGTCAGACACAATGGCCTCAGCCACATGTGCATGTACAGACATATAGATGCATACAGGTAAACTGAAGCATGCTTGCAACCCTTGGCACCCAAAAGGTAGGCACATAGTGAAGCCCCTCCCCTCCATCACTTGTTCTTACCCATCTTGCATGAGCAGCTGCCGCAAGAAGTCATTCGCTGCCAGCTTGATTGCCTTCTCTGGAGTGACCAGGGTGAGGTTTACTGCAGCCCCTGGAGGAGAGAAATGAGGAGGAGCTGCGGCTGCTGTGGAGGTGACACAGCTCCAGGATAAACATGGCTAGGGGAGCCAGGCAAGGGGACACAGTCTAGCTTCCTGAAAAACATTCATTTTTCATTCTCTCTCCCTAACACATCTTCCTCTTTGATTTTTTAGTCTGTTATTGTGTTGTGGACATGCATATGCCCGGGCACACAAGTGGCAACCAGAAGACAACTTTGCGCAGTTAGCTTTCCCCTTACATGGTTCTGGAATCAAAGTCGGGTTGCTAGGCTTGTGTACAGCACTTTAGCCAGATGTGGCTTGGTTTGGGAGTTGGGGGTCTTAGTACATGGCCCAGGATGACACAGAACTCACAATCCTCCTGCCTCCTTAGTGTCAGCGTGACAGGTGTGTCAGTGTGAAGCTTCTCCACCACCCCCTCCTTTTTTTTTTTTTTTAAACTTTGAGACAGGATCTCACTATGAGAACAGGAACTCACAGAGATCCATCTGCCTCTGCCTCCCAAGTGCTGGGATTAAAAATGTGCACCACCATACCAGCCTGGTTTTTTGTTTGTTTGCTTGCTCATAGCTTTATGGGTTATTGTCTATGTTGGGGAGAGTAAGGGGGCGGGGCAGAGGCAGACTGGGGCACTTGCTTTTAACATAGCACAACCAGGCACCTTGAAAGAGGCCTTAGCTAGAAGCATCTGCCTCTACATTGAAGGCTCTTGAAAGTTGGTGTAGTCCAGAGCAGCTCTCTGGGTGGAATGAACACCGATACCTCTGTGCTACAAGCTCACAAAGTGTGGGTTGTACACACTGCCCCATCATCCTGGGTAGAGGAGTCTGAATTCTGGATGTTCAGAAGCCCACCTCGGTACATGCCCAAGAAGCCCTCAGCACGTGCGGTCTTCATCAGGCAATCTGTCCTAGAAGCAGAGGCCAGAGAGGAAGTCAGCCGGGTCCAAGTGGGCCTCTTCCCCTTCCCGGGCACACCTCGGATGGCCTTGTTCTCCAGATCCCTCCCTGCCTTCACGTCTCCCACCAATACCTACATTCCTTTATACACATCTTTCCCCTGCTGGTTCTGCAGTCGGGTCTTGGCAAGGTCAATGGGAAAGACGCAGGTCACCCCCACGAGACCTGCTACACCTCCATTGAGGAGTTTTGCAGTGATGCTAGGCCATGGGGAAGAGAAAAAGAGAAAGTGTGAGAAGGTTCTCCCCCTCAGCCGGCTTGGGTAGGGGACACGAGAGCGGGGCCAGGCAGAGAAAATCAAGGCTGGCAGCTGCTAAGCTTCCAGAGTGCCCCCTCCTCAGCACCCTCCTTCCACACAGGCTAGGAACCTCTCTCCAGGAAGCCCATGCTTACCTGCCTGATCGGCTCACACTAACCCATAGTGAAGGGTTTACCGAGCTAAGATATTGCAGGCCTGCTGGGAAGGGAGCCCACCAGGGAGTTGGCAGGCCTTAGCTTGGCCTTCAAAGATGCCCTCCAGAACTGCCATCAAGGTTGGCTCTCCAGCCTCTCACCCTTGGAGGCCTGTGAGGAAGTTTTCAAACAAATTCCAACTTTATTTTCAGTTGAAATGTGAAGACAATGTGGTGCAGCTGGATCTTGACTGTTGACTTGGGCACGGTGTCTCAGTTCTCTGAAACGTCATTACCCTTTTCTAGGGACTGTATGAGGACTAAATAAGCATCAGGTAAATGACAGATATTGTTAAGGAGATGATATCCTCCAGGCTAGAGAGATGATTCACCGGTTAAGAGCATTTGCTTTTGCAGAGGGCCCAGGTTCAATTCCCAGCACCCCCATGGCAGCTCAGGACCATGTGTAACTCCAATTCCAGCAGACCGACACCCCTTTCTGACCTCTGTAGGCACCAGGCATGTGTGTGTGCATGCACATGCACACACATACACATACACACACATACAGTATCCAGGCAAAGCATTCAGATACACATAAAATAAACCTAAAAAACTCTTTTAAAGGATAAAATACCCTGACTATGACCTTGTGTGCTTCTTAGCGAGAGATACCTAGGACTAGTAAGCAGTATATTATCTACTCCAGCTCAGTAACCACTTGCTTTAGGTAACATGACTTTCTTCCTGGTTAAGGATAGGAGTCTGGGAATAGAAAACAGTTTCCTCAGACGCCTTGGAAAACAGTGAAATGTTCTTGTCTTTCAGTCCAAAGGCAGACATGAGGAAAATATTTGAGACAGAATAACTGTGCTGGAGAGATTGCTCAGCTATTAAGACCACCACTGGCTGCTTTGTCAGAGGTCCTGAGTTCAATTCTGAGCAACCACATGGTGGCTCACAACCATCTCTAATGGGATCCAATACTCATCTAGTGTGTGTCTGAAGACAGCTACAGCGTACTCATAAATAAAAAATAAATAAATCTTAAAAAAAAAAACCAGAATAACTAGCAACAAAGAAGCATGGCTTAAACTTCCCTGTGAGAGTCAAAACGATTGAAAACAATGTTGCCAGGGAGGAGAGTTTAGGGAGGAGCTCCTGGAGCCCAGGCTGCCCACAATCTTACTACGTAACCAAGGCTGGCCTTAAACCTAATCCTTGAGGCTCTACCTCCCAGAGCTGGGATATAGGCATACACCATTATAGTATGGCCAGCTTGCAAACCCCATTTTAACAATATTGGGGGGTGGGCGCTCTGCTTGTTTATTTGGAGAAACGCACATTCTGGGCAATGGGCCTCATTTGCTCTCCCCATTCACTCACTCTGTTCTCATCATCTAGAGCTGACACTGATGGGCTGATGCCATAGCAACCCTTCTATAAATTGATTGTCCCCCTGTGCCTACCTCAGGTCTTGGCTGGACATCCTGTGGGCGATCATCCACGACAGCTCCCAGGACACAGGCTGTGGGGCCCTCACAGGCAGCTGCTGTTGAGGCCAGTGGAGAGGGAAGAAATGGTCTGTCCTTGACGCTACCCTTCCATAGAACTGGCAAGACATGGAATTCCTCATGCCCCTGTGTGTTCCATGTCCCCACTTCCTATAGCTATTGGAAATGTGTATCCAGACAGAAATCCTTGTTTGGACTTTGAATCAGAAAAGGAAGGGAGATGAGAGAGTAGATACCTAAACTAAAAAAGCTGTTCCCAGAGGCTTCCAGGGGGAGTTATGGGAGTAGTGGAGACATGGGCTATGAAGAGTTTCCCCAGAGCACCTCTCCCAGCAGACGAGGCCTGCAATGCTTCAGTTGGTCTCAAGTAGCTTGTTTTGGGAGTTTGAGGAATGAAGGTAGACGTGACACTTGCAACCCGGCTATGTAATAGATGACGATGACTTTGAATGACTGATCTTCCTGCTTCCATCCAAGTGCTTAGGATTATGGGTACTGGCCATCTGCCTGGCACTTAGTATTCTGAAGTTTCATGTGAACCCAAGCTGTGCTCTGCATTTCCTGAGTTAGGTTGGTTTATTTGTTTTGGGACAAGAACTTCCTTGTAGGACAGGCTGACCTGGAACTCCCAGGGATCTATCTTAGCCTCCTGAGTGCTGAGGTCACAGGTATGTGTCACCATGACTGGTGTTGCATTGATCATTGTCACAAATGGAAAATACTGAATGGGGAATACAATAATTGGAGACTTAAAGCACAAGATCTGAGTTCAAGGCCTGCCTGAGTTACAAAGTGTTACAGTGTGTGTGTGTGTGTGTGTGTGTGTGTGTGTGTGTGTGTGTGTGTGTGT